CAGGAGGTCGTTGATACGACCAATACACAGCGAGAGACCGGTGGTCCGTTTAAATCTCTCGCTGCAATGGACGAGGAAGAAGTAATTAATCGATACCTGAAGAACGTCAGATATTATGGGCGTATCCTTGGTATATGGCCGCTTGACAATAGTTGGAAGCCACGCGTGGTGCCAAAATTGTTGTACATTCGGTGTATCACATCGCTTTTCTCAATGGCACGTTCGATGGAAAACAGTAATAAATAGTCTCATGGGTTTCGTCCATTCATTCATTCCTATAAACAAACGAAAAGTTTTCATTATTCCTGTGATCATTTGCTACTGTAATCCAAATTTACAATAGTATTCACTGGAAGTGTAGTTCTAATTTTCCAAGTTTTAAATTGGTCACGGAGTAACACAGCGATAGTAGTTCAATTGTTAACCGAGGCAGTTTCGTACCCCTGTGGCTTGACGTGCCCTATATTCGCTGCTGTAAGGAGGGTCGCTCGGCTGCGGGGATATTTTCAAACGTTAATAACTAAAGAACGAAGCCTCAAACGGAATTTTTTTGTTCTTCATTTTCGTCTTATCTCGGACTCTAAAATCACCTCTCTAATTTTCTCCCAGAAGTAGCCGATAATCCTGTATACTTAAGCACAAATCTAAATGACACATTTTTCTGAATCGTGATAAAGCTAGCTGCAATGTTAGATATCAAAAATCATTCTACACAGTTCGAACCTAAACGCCTCGATTAATAACAATTCAAGCTGAAAATAATTCGAGTAAAAACGTAAGAACTCTCGTTAGTGATAGTGATTTTCGATAATTCAACGTCAGTACTCGAAAATTGAATAATTTAAGAGGAATGTTGAATATGTAGACGAGAGACAATTTACGATTAAACCATGAACAAGTAGTTCACTTATTCGTGACGATATTTCTCGACGTGATCATGCCTCTCGGTTACAGAGTGCGAGGATCGTGGTTGCTTACAGTTTTACCGTGCTGACCGAGCAGCTACCGTACTTATGCATCGCGTTAATGATGATCGTAAAGCACGGCAATTGTTTCCTACAATTGTCCAAGGTAAGAGATGGTTTCGTGTCGTTTAGTTGCGTTGAACAAACGAACGTCTACACTTATAGCTCCGTCAGATTGTGACTAATATGATCAGCGATTGGCAAAAGAAAATGATCGACGAGGAGTTGGCGATCATGAATAAGTACGCCAAGAGGGGAGCGTTGTTCTCCTTTCTGTATAGCACTGAGGAAAAGAACAATATTCGACGTGTATTCGCACCTACATTCCATAGGGTTACCCTGCAATCACCGACAAACGTTTCATCGACACTATAAAGGGTGTTCCAGTTATTTTCTTATCAAACTTCATTTCGTATTATTGTCATAACCTTTTAATAAAGACAAAGTTTGATCAGAAAAAATTCGGACACTCTGTAGATTCGTCGACGGTGTGTTTCTATCGAGATATCAACTTTCTTGTACAGCAATGAGTTACTAGCAATAAGTTTTATTAGTAAATATAAATTGTGCATGTCAATAATGAAAAATTTCAGAAATAAAAGAAAACAGATGTAAACTATTCCATGAACTGTACATTATGTAAGTAATTGATCGGTGAATCGAGTACGTTTCATGAAAAGTATAGTCCCATCGCGTGATTTCAAGGTGGTCTCACCGAATGTGACAGAAATAAAAAAAAGAAAACAGCACGATTCGTTACGTTACCGTAAATTATCCTTCTCGTCGATAATACTTTTTATCAACGACAAGCAACATTGAATTTCCGTTTTATCGATACATGCTTCAGTAACTATATACATTGGAGTGTCCGTGTTTTCTACCGCGCCCCTCATACCGTTCATCCTGGACCTAATTTCACCTTTGAACGAGTCTCGTCCACGTTTGTACGCCTATAAAGCCTACTGTTACTTCAATCCGGACGACTACTATTATTACGTCGTGGGGTACACCAGCGCGTGCATAGGAATGGCCGGACTCGTGCTTGTCGGCGCTGACATTATTATGATACATCTTGTACGTCCAACCTGAGAGAGAATTATGCAGCAGAAAAAAATTATTCACATTCGACGATGATTATACAGATATCGTTTCGAGTATGCGGTGGCCACCGTTGAAAACTCAACGAAGGAGGAAATATACAAAATGAGGAGAGCAAGTTATATGAAACTTCGTGCAGCTTTCCAAAGTCACAATGCAGCTATGGAGTTTGTATTTTTTTTTCTCTTTATTTATATATTACGATCGTGTTGAAAAACAAAATTTTAAAACTCTCGTTATCGAAAGTTTTAGGATACTTCAACGTCAGCATTCGAAAATTGTTATATCTATCAATGATTTGTTAATCGTATATAATAATTTTCATACGTTGTGTTCTTCGATATAGATGTCTGATGAAAATTGAGGCGACGTACACGTTGAACCTGGTTCCTCAGGTATTCATCACGATTGTAGTATTCAGTGTCACGTTGTTCCAGGTATTACTAGTATTATATGGTTAATTGAATTCATTTTTCTTCTTTGCAGATTGTGCACGTTCCTGATCGCACAAACTGTACACATGCTGTTTTTGACGATTCAGGGACAGTTCGTGATCGATTCGCATGATACAGTGTACAATGTGTGTATGGTGATTCTAGAGTAATCTGTTCACAGATACGAGGCAATTTGGTATAAGATGCCACCTAAACTTCAGTTGCTAGACGTTGTAGCGCTTAGAAAAAGCCTAACTCCTCCTATACTGACGGCGGGAGGGTTGATGCGGTTAGATTTGAATTCTTTCGCACAGGTGAATTAGATTTTGAGGGGAAAAAAGTGTTCTCTCTTATCGACACTGTTTCATCCAGTGTATGAAATATTTTTCCAGTGTATGTAATTTATTTTCAGCTACTGAAAGCTTGCGTCTCGTATTATACGGCACTGCGACCTAGCTACTGAGTCGGGAATTTCTAGAATTTAATAAAAATCAACGAGCGGAAAATTGAGTTTTGTGTGAAAGAAAGGTGTTTCCAAATAAACGGACAACGTTTTGATTTCTTCTGTGAAAAAGAAGTGTGTACATACATCGTCTGCTAGAAAGATCAGTGATCTACTAGAAAAATATTTGTATAAGAAGCAAAATTATAGACAACGACCTATATTTCATTCCACGTGTTGAGTTGTACTAAAAACACACTCTAATTCAAATTGCTATCTTTATAATTAAAATAAAGAACTAATTTTCACAAATGTTCTTGAACAAAAATGTCTTATTCAATTAAGTAACACTGTTTCTCACCAAATTTATGAAACGCGACGGAGATACAACATTTACTCACGAATGATTTTCTACTCTCTTCACTGCCAGCACGTATCAGATGCGTGAAAAAGTAAGATATGGAAACTCGGTAAGGGTACGTGTCCATCGAAGACTTTCTCTACGATAATTCTTCCCCAGAGTATTCTCAAATTGTGTATCCAGCAGTATAAACCGTTTCAGCGATGACACAGTCTGTGACAACTTGTACTAATGAAACAGTGGTATTAAACACAGGCGAAAAGATGCATCTGCTTCTTGCTAATACTATTTGTGAACTGGATATAACACAGCAATATGTGAAACCACAATCGATACCCTATTTACAAGCGATGCCAATTATTATTAATACAAATGTCAAATGACATTTGCCTAATTGGATAGTTCATCGTTAAAGCAATTACTGTAAACCGAGTACGGTAAAGAATAATGAAACGTCTATATTGATCCATTAATGAAGTAAGTGGACGAGTGAAAAATGCTAAACGTTCTTTTACCCAGCAACATGGACTGATAAATTATTCGCGGAGACAAATTAGTACAGTAAATTAACAGACTGGTAAGACAATCCAAGATAGGGTCAGCGCTCTTAAACCCACCAATATGCACTTAGTACATTTTTCGAGCAGGTAGTTTAATAACAGCAAAGTGGCGCCAAAACAATATCCTATATGGCTATGAATTGAATTATTTCCTTTCTTACCGCGCAACGAGAACGAGTTTCGCCGTCGAGTACGCAACATCCACCTTGAACCTCAATTATGGAAGCGGACGACGTGGAGAGGAATTATTTGTACATGACCAAAGGATAATCATCGCTGCTTCACTCGAGATCTTTGCAGAGGTAAATGTAAAGAATTAACACGCTAGCTTCTCAATTAAAAAATAAAAAAAAACACTAGAAGTGACTAACTCCGCTAAAATTATATTTACTAAATTTTTTTTATGAAGATTTAAGCACCGAGCATGTGTTTTGATACTAAAATTGGAAAATTTTCAAAAAGTGGAGTTAAATATTTTGCCTTTTCAGTGGCCACACCAAGATATATCATTTTACTCCCCAATTAGTTTCTATACCATTCACAATGACTTCCCAGTAGACACGTGAACGTATTTGAATTTATACCGCTTCATTTTTCCATTCTCCGTGACTGTGATGCAAAAGTACGTGAGAAATTTGAATAAAGAAAAGGTGTAGGAAATCGATGCTCCATTCTGTTAGCTAAGCTATTTCTAAACTGAAGTTAACACCGCGATACGTCCGACACTCTCCGACACACTACTTGTCATGTCGTTACAAGGGACATATGTTTAATTGATACCAACCACAACTGAAACGATTATACTCACTTAACGTGCGGTAAAATAATGGAGCGCCGTGCATACGTCATTTCAGAACTAAGCGCGTGATTAAAGCCGGCAGCATGGTGGTAGCGAAAAAAAGAAAGGCTAACCGTTCTTAGCTCACCAATGCGTACTAATAAATTATTCGTGCCGACACATTAACACGGCAAACTAACGCTTAAGGAATATCCGTCGTAATGAATCGAATCATTTCCTTTCTTACCGCGCAACCAGAACGAGTTTCACCGACGAGCACGAAACATCCACCTTGAACCTCAATTATGGAAGCGAGCGACGTGGAGAGGAATTATTTGTACGTGAACAAATTTTGCGGAACGATGGCCGGTATATGGCCGTACGGGGACGAGAAAATGAAATGGGTTTCACGATTCGTGATACTAGTGATCACTGTTACAGCTATGACGACCCAGGCAAGAAACAAGTTTAATTATATTACAATCATACACCTACGTTTACGAATCTACAGTGAAAACCCTGGTAAATGAAATAATTTTTCCATAAGTATGTACGAATGTATAGCGTTCGTTACTATTCGCCGTTTCAGATATCCGTAGAAGATACTTGGAGTTAATCTCTTGGGATACAGGGGTTTCACTGTGTATATTTTCTTATTACCTGTTTGATCCGCAAGATTAATTCATACAGGAAATTATAGGAAAAAAATTGAGAAGGACAAGAAGGAAATATCGCAGGTTAATCGATAGGTATTGTACATTGTATTTGTTCGACCGTAGGTTGCGTACGTGAAAGTGAACCTGAGCACGGATACTGTGATAGAACAATGCCCATTTTTCACAATGGGTTTAGGAATATTTTTGAAGGAGTTGAATTATATCATACACGAGCAACAGGTGAGCAATCTACTTGCATTTTCTCCGTCACATAGAGTGAAATAATTCATTAATTCGAAATTACAGCTAAGGAAGCTTTTGGGGTGCGTATTCGCAGATTGGATAGTAAAGCGGCCAAAACCCGAAATGGACATTATGGACAAGTACGCGAAAAGAGGCCTGTTTTTCAGTCGTTTGTACGTAGGTAGGGCACAATTTCCGTTGAGAATGATTCATTCCGGATAACATTGCGTCTAAATTGAGCAAAAAATATTTCAATTGCAGCGTAATCGCTTCATAAACGATTCTTCTGCAAACTATCCAATTATTACTTCGTCTATTCTTATTATAATTACATTTTCTTCTCTATATGTCGCAGCAAATGGAATCTTCTGCTACGTTCTCTTCACCGCAGTGGCGATTACCCCTCGTGTTCTCGACCTTATTTCGCCGAAAAACGAATCGCGCGGAGTGGGCTTCATTTATCCTGCCAACTACGGCGTCGACGAAGAGGAGCATTACTACTATCTGATGGGTCACATGCTTTCCGTGATAACTGTCGTGTTTTTCGTCTACATCTCCTGTGACACGATCTACATGAATATCGTGCAACACGCGTGTGGATTATTGAACCTCTCTGGGTAAGCAATTTTCAGATGTTACTCGAGTATCGGGCGGGGATTTTTAACCGTTTGCGATTGTACGTTGGCTGAAAGGAAGCCATTCTGATTCAGCACACGATCATTTATGATTAATTACACCGAAGTGGACGACACGTATAGAAAAGTGCGCCATTCGATCAAGGCTCATCAACACGCTATGGAGTAAGTACGATTATTTAGAAATAAATTCGACCTGTTTAGAATATTCGTTCTTCCACCATCATTTACATACGTTTATTCAATATATGTGTAAAATAGATATATTATGCAGATCGAAGACGTTCACGACTCGTACCTGTTCATAATAGTCGCTTTAATCATGCTGTCGTTCAGTATCACTCTAGTCAGGGTTAGTCAATTTTCCATTCCACGCAAAATAAATATAATCTGCTTTGTTAAATGATATAATCGAGCGTTTGAAATTAGACGTCCATGATGGACCCTTGCATGGAGTTCTACAAGTATTGCGCTTTCTTGGTGGTGCAACTGGTTCATTTGCTTTTCCTTTCTATCCAGGGACACTTTGTTATACTCTCGCATGACATGACTTACGACAACATGTGAGTAGCCGTTCTTACGCGAATTTCACTGGAAGTTAAAAATTGCCAGGAAATTTCACTCGTTCAAAAAAAAAGAAAATGCAATTATCAGTTCTATCGTACCTCGAAGATTTCAGGAGTTGTTCGTTCGCAGATATAGCGCAAAATGGTACAACAGTTCGCCGAGAACGCAAACTCTGTACGTGCTAGCTTTGAGGAGGAGCTTGACTCCGCCATTGCTCACTGCGGGAGGACTGATTTCCTTGAATTTGGAGACTTTTGCCGAGGTAAATATGAAAATTAACGCGATACCTTCTCGATTAACCCTTATGTCAATAACCAGAATTGTCGTCTACTTTATCGTCCAATTTTAGTAGTTTTCTGATAACAAAATACTAGGATAGGAAATTTTACCTGGAAGATCAAATATTTTAAGCGAGAATTATGCAAAGGGGTACCCGGTTATTGACATAAGGGTTAACAGAGAAAAAAGGGACACTAGAATGGTCATAAGAAATATTTCTAGATCTTAAAAGCATCCGTTTCCTTTTTCACGGTAATGAAATCGACATAAACGGCGAGGAATTGATAACCGGGACGAAAGGAGGAGCACAACAATCGAAGAATTTGTTAATAATTCTTTGACCTGCTATGCAATTGGACAGTATACAGAATTATTCAAATATATAAGTTCTAATTCTCACAAAATTTTTTGAAACACATTGACAAGTCCATTAGATGTATCGGTTTACGCTCCAATTTATTTTCCGTACTTTCTACTGCGACCATTTATTAGATCCTCCGTGAACAGAGTGGAAAATTGGACCAAATCGTGAAGCAAAATCTGTGACCAATTCGAAGATGCTTCTATCCGTCAGTAGTATCGTTTGCGAACTGTAGTCAAAATGGGAACATGTAAAACCACTTCCGGCACGTCGCTCACTCTTAGCCCTTTAGATGGTAAGCCAACTATCGTTAATGCAGTTGCCTAATGGCATCGCCTCAACTAATACCAAACAAAACTGAGATAACTGTATTGAAGTAATTACTATCGTGTATGCAACATCCATATCGTGATCTCGTTTCACCGAACTTGGAAACTTTTCCGAATATAAGTGCAATAATTAACGCGACACTTTGTTCCATCTTACAGAATAGTATCCAAAGGTTTACCAAAAAATTTTCTAGACTTTAAAAACTTCAATCTCCTATTTCGCGGTACTGATATTGCATTGACAAGCTCCAGTGGATCAGAAATGTAAAGCAGTGCAGTTATACATCTAAAAGTGTGTATCTATTCACAACACGTTTTATTTGCAAATTTCCATGCCTACCTTTCGAACAACAGATTCGTACGTTCCGTTACTCGGACATTCTCGAGACTCTCTAGCTGAACGCAGAAGGGAAATGAAATCTATATAGAAAGCACTCGAGAATAAAGTGAGACGCATTCGAAAAGGGGTATAAACCATCATTGGCCAGACACGCACGAACCAAGTCCACGTAATCCTTTTAATTATGTAACACCGCTCGTAACTACCATCACGACATGTACCAGTTTCTGTCAATACTTAATGCTCGCGGTATCTATATACGTATATTGTGACAATGCCATTAAAAACAATTATACCTAACATCACATTTCTACTGGCAAATTGGCTCAAGATGACGGTGTAATAGGGATCGTTTAGAGGAAAAATTGCACGGTTGAATGCTACTTTGAGATTTCTTCTATAACGATACACAATTACGGCTCGCTCCGCCGTCTCCTCGTAGTTGTTTAAACAAATCATGACGTGCCACGTAGCGAAACTATAGGTCCTCAGCAATTCTCCTCTTTTCCTTCTATTTTTTTTCTTTGCCTTTCTTCTTCTTCGTGTTGCGTCGATTTTTCCGACGAACCGTCGCGCATATATTCGTCGAACGTTCGTCGCGCTGGTTTCATTTTGACAATGGACGCGATCACGTTAGAGAAACGTTACTTGAGAATCAACAAGAAGCTCGGTATGCTAACCGGTGTGTGGCCCTATCAAAAGAGCTCGCCAAAATGGATCAGTCGAACCGTAGTGCTCTTTGTAATAATACCTTGTTACGTTACACAGGTAGAAAAAATAAGGATTATCTTTCTTCCCCAAACGAAAAGTGGTTGTTTTTTTCACTCTAATTTTTACAGTATGCCAGGATCGTCACTTTTCCCAGGATACATATCATACTAAACGATTATCCTTACTTGATAACTTCGCTCGGGGTAATCATCAAATTTGGTAACTATTTCATAAACGAATCAGAGGTAAGTGCAATACTCTCCATCGTGTCTTCTTAACTCAATCAAATCACCAGCTTCGAAATTTCAGCTGAAATATCTTCTTGGAAAGATCTACGAAGACTGGAGAGCCATGACGTCGGAGGATGAGTACAAGATCATGACGAAATACGCGGAGAAAGGGATTTTCAGTGTCATACTCTATATTCGTAAGAGAAGGATAAATTTATATTTCAAAGATGAAGAAATTCGTGTAATTAGAACGTTCTCTGTCATTCTATTTCACGTTTGAAACAGTGCATATATCGTTATGCGCCGCTCTATTTATGTGCTTGCCGTTCGTGTCGCCGATTCTGGACATCCTTATGCCGTTGAACGAGACGCGAGCACGGTTGTTCGTCTATCCAGCTTACTATTTCGTCGACGAGGACAAATATCATTACTTGATCGTAGGGCATATGTATCTTGTAGTGGTAATGCTTATCTCTGTTTTCTGCGCCTGCGATGCCAATTACGTGTACGCCGTGCAACACGCTTGCGGATTGTTGGCCATTGCAGGGTAATTAGTTCAAGGACAATTAATGGAAAATGGTTTTCTTTATAGAAATTTCGTTGGCTTTTGTTTAGCTGAAAACAATTGTCTGTTGGTAGATATCGTTTTAAATACGCCTGCTATGAGGTAATACCCGAGGATGAGAAGGAAGCTGTGAAGATGATGAGAAAGATGTATAGAAATGTTTGTCATTCGATTCGAATACATCAACGTGCTTTACAGTCGGTATTATTATTATTATTATTATTACAGACTGCAAAATTTCACGGTTGGATCTTTTTGGTTATTTTTTCAGCAATTAATTGTTAGTTTTGATTCAGATACGTGAAAGAGATCACGGCCGCTCACGATACTTGCATGTTCATCTCGGTGGGACTGCTGATGATGAGCATCAGCACTTCGTTGTTGCAGGTGACTCGACTCATTATACCAGCTTCACTTTTCTTTTTTTTTTTTTCGATATTTAATAGTGGCGAGCTCGTGATCAATTTACATGAATCTAGATATCAGAACACGAACACGACGCAGAATGGACATTGTACTGCACGTTCTTCACGGCCCAGTTGTTACACATGCTGTTCTTAGTCGTTCAGGGGCAGTTCGTGTTGGACGCGTACGACGATGTTTATAATACGATGTGAGTACTTAAACGAAATGTGAAATACGGATTTAGGAGGAGAAATGGTCGCAGCTAACCTTGACCGTGAAAGAAATATATTGTTTTCAAATTCGAAATTTGATAACCTGTGTGTGAAAGACTGAAGAGAAAAATTTGAGGGAAAAAATTTGAGAATTTGATAATCTAAATTGGAACATTTGCATGCGATAATTTAAAACCCTAAGTTTTAAAATATGACTGCCAAAGTTAAAATTAAATAATTTGAGAATTTGAATGCGAAAGTTTGAATTAGAAGATTCGAAGCTCCAAATATGAAAATTTATCGTTTACAGATACGAATCGACATGGTACAATTCTTCGTGCAAAACGCAAGCGTTATACATATTAGCGTTACGGAGTAGCCTAAACCCTCCCTTGTTAACCGCCGGTGGATTTATAACGTTGAATTTAAAGACCTTCTCAGAGGTAACGAGGCGACTAATACAAGATTACTCGGACTCACTAAAACATTTGACACCGTGTATACGAGATTCTCCTTCCAGATTATAAAATCATCCGTGTCTTACTATACGGTGATGCAATCGAAATGAACGGTAGAACTTCAATACTGACATAATTTTGTCGATATTACCGTGATAACTGGCACAATCTATACGTGGCTGAAGAATATTCACTTCCGCTGTATAAATGTATTCGATGTGAATTGACGAGATAATAATACAAACAGAATCGATTCAATGAGTCTATCGTATAATCGTTGAGTTAGGTTAAAACTGTACGGGATGATCCATATAAAAAGGATACTGTTGTTTGCATTACAGGCAAATACAAACAAATTTTCCCTCGTTCTTACATACATATTTATGAATCACCCTGTCCGTTAAATGTGCCATTGATTTTTTACAAAACTTATCTACTGTACTCGTTATTACGTATGTGTTGTTATATTTGTCGTGCGTGTTTATATATTGTGGTGTTATTCGTATGCATGTAATAAAACGTAACAAACCCCTAAACATATAATAAATTAATATTTTCTACTTACTCTTACTTGTCCACTTATACAATGAAACACTTGAACTGTTTGACAATTTTTTTCAAATACTTGTTCAATAAAATTTCGAACGTAAAAACTCACCCATATTGTCGAAACGTAACGTAGAAGGATTATTCTGTTTCCCACATGGTACTTTTCCTGAACACGAGGAACAGTTCTGTCGACCAAGTGATTCAACATATTGCGATAAAAGGCCGTTCAAGGTACTGAATCAATGCTCGTTTCCCACTTTTCTCCATCGCTACTCTGTCTCTGCAAACAACAGAACAGTGTAACTGCATTTAACCACCAATAATGATCTACAAATCACGGAGAATTTCAAATGCATTTCCATGCCGTTCACCTGCGGTGCAAACGTAACGAAATACCAAACGCAAGAAATTCTGCCGAAAAATGAAGTACGTATGTATATTCCGTAACATTTCCTGCGCACTACGTAACAGGTAGACTGCCCAGGACTAACATCGAAGAAGGAGCCATTTAACTGTTAATATTTAATGCAAGCTAATCCGCTTCTGAATCAGATATAAGTGCTTTTCACTTTGCGAGAGTAGAGTACTGAACTTTCTAACGAGCTTCAAATAGTCCAATTTTCGGATGATCTTGACGAAAGCGTCGTTTCTCCGTTTCAAAAAGGCGGTTTAATAAATGATCGAGAATCGGTTGCTCGTGTAACGATCGTGCTCTGGTCGTTTCAGAAATTATTGAACTAAACCCTCAGCGATATTAGTCTGTAAGCACACGGAATATACGATAGGCGATTATTTTCCTGACAATCTTCATCCTACCGATTCTCTTTAACTTATGGCAAACACACAAGAGAAATATAACGTAGAACCAGCTTGACTGATTTCGCTGTTACGATTATGTACGCAGAAACGGTCGAAGAACGATTTATGAAGTTGAACAAAGTGCTTGGACTGATATGCGGTGTCTGGCCTCGTCAGAACTCTCGAAGGAAACTGATCACGCAAATACTTTCTTTGCTTCTAATGGCATCTTCCATTGTTACACAGGTACGGTAGGTTCAATCGAAAGGAACGTTTAAACACGACGCATATCGTGTTTGATTGCAGATAGCAAACACCGTGCTATTCTTCAGCATGGACAATCTCGTGGATGGCATACCTTTCAACGTGGCAGCGGTTGGGACGTTCGTGAAACTGGGTAATTACATTATAAACGAAACGAAGGTAAGGGAACAACGTTCGATGGTACTTTTGAGAAAAGCACACGGGACGATTTGAACGAGAAATTTGAATGAAACATACGGGACGTTCGCTGTGGATCTCAGAGGAAGAAACTTGATTGGTGGAAACGTGACTGCGATTGATTACCGAATTTCGATTAGTTATTTGACCGGCCGAATTAAAAAAAATGCCCGTGACTCAGATAATTTCTGCGCACCAGAAAAATTACACGGTGAACGTGTTAAAATGGCTTCCTATCGATAGTAGGAAGTCACTTGATAATTTCAATAGAAAATCGATATTTTCAAACTTGTCAATTTATCAAAATTCGTTACTGCTATAAAATGTGAAAAATTCCCAGACACGTATCCCACTGTCTATAGTATCTCTGAATTTTTGCATAATTTTTCGTCGAGTGGAACAGCAAAAAAATGGAGCTTAAATTGTAAATCACGTTTCTATCTTCAGCTACCCTAACAGTGGAACTGAAACTTTTGCAGAAAGAGACGTTCTTTCAGTGGCTTATCAACTGACATATCGCGACACTTTTACCATGCACATTCGCCTCTAACCCTTTTTTCAATTTTAAAACCCTAAGTTTTAAAATATGACTGCCAAAGTTAAAATTAAATAATTTGAGAATTTGAATGCGAAAGTTTGAATTAGAAGATTCGAAGCTCCAAATATGAAAATTTATCGTTTACAGATACGAATCGACATGGTACAATTCTTCGTGCAAAACGCAAGCGTTATACATATTAGCGTTACGGAGTAGCCTAAACCCTCCCTTGTTAACCGCCGGTGGATTTATAACGTTGAATTTAAAGACCTTCTCAGAGGTAACGTGGCGACAAATACAAGATTACTCGGACTCATTAAAACATTTTACACCGTGTATACAAGATTCTCCTTCCAGATTATAAAATCATCCGTGTCTTACTATACGGTGATGCAATCGAAATGAACGGTAGAACTTCAATACTGACATAATTTTGTCGATATTACCGTGATAACTGGCACAATCTATACGTGGCTGAAGAATATTCACTTCCGCTGTATAAATGTATTCGATGTGAATTGACGAGATAATAATACAAACAAAATCGATTCAATGAGTCTATCGTATAATCGTTGAGTTAGGTTAAAACTGTACGGGATGATTCATATAAAAAGGATACTGTTGTTTGCATTACAGGCAAATACAAACAAATTTTCCCTCGTTCTTACATACATATTTATGAATCACCCTGTCCGTTAAATGTGCCATTGATTTTTTACAAAACTTATCTACTGTACTCGTTATTACGTATGTGTTGTTATATTTGTCGTGCGTGTTTATATATTGTGGTGTTATTCGTATGCATGTAATAAAACGTAACAAACCCCTAAACATATAATAAATTAATATTTTCTACTTACTCTTACTTGTCCACTTATACAATGAAACACTTGAACTGTTTGACAATTTTTTTCAAATACTTGTTCAATAAAATTTCGAACGTAAAAACTCACCCATATTGTCGAAACGTAACGTAGAAGGATTATTCTGTTTCCCACATGGTACTTTTCCTGAACACGAGGAACAGTTCTGTCGACCAAGTGATTCAACATATTGCGATAAAAGGCCGTTCAAGGTACTGAATCAATGCTCGTTTCCCACTTTTCTCCATCGCTACTCTGTCTCTGCAAACAACAGAACAGTGTAACTGCATTTAACCACCAATAATGATCTACAAATCACGGAGAATTTCAAATGCATTTCCATGCCGTTCACCTGCGGTGCAAACGTAACGAAATACCAAACGCAAGAAATTCTGCCGAAAAATGAAGTACGTATGTATATTCCGTAACATTTCCTGCGCACTACGTAACAGGTAGACTGCCCAGGACTAACATCGAAGAAGGAGCCATTTAACTGTTAATATTTAATGCAAGCTAATCCGCTTCTGAATCAGATATAAGTGCTTTTCACTTTGCGAGAGTAGAGTACTGAACTTTCTAACGAGCTTCAAATAGTCCAATTTTCGGATGATCTTGACGAAAGCGTCGTTTCTCCGTTTCAAAAAGGCGGTTTAATAAATGATCGAGAATCGGTTGCTCGTGTAACGATCGTGCTCTGGTCGTTTCAGAAATTATTGAACTAAACCCTCAGCGATATTAGTCTGTAAGCACACGGAATATACGATAGGCGATTATTTTCCTGACAATCTTCATCCTACCGATTCTCTTTAACTTATGGCAAACACACAAGAGAAATATAACGTAGAACCAGCTTGACTGATTTCGCTGTTACGATTATGTACGCAGAAACGGTCGAAGAACGATTTATGAAGTTGAACAAAGTGCTTGGACTGATATGCGGTGTCTGGCCTCGTCAGAACTCTCGAAGGAAACTGATCACGCAAATACTTTCTTTGCTTCTAATGGCATCTTCCATTGTTACACAGGTACGGTAGGTTCAATCGAAAGGAACGTTTAAACACGACGCATATCGTGTTTGATTGCAGATAGCAAACACCGTGCTATTCTTCAGCATGGACAATCTCGTGGATGGCATACCTTTCAACGTGGCAGCGGTTGGGACGTTCGTGAAACTGGGTAATTACATTATAAACGAAACGAAGGTAAGGGAACAACGTTCGATGGTACTTTTGAGAAAAGCACACGGGACGATTTGAACGAGAAATTTGAATGAAACATACGGGACGTTCGCTGTGGATCTCAGAGGAAGAAACTTGATTGGTGGAAGCGTGACTGCGATTGATTACCGAATTTCGATTAGTTATTTGACCGGCCGAATTAAAAAAAATGCCCGTGACTCAGATAATTTCTGCGCACCAGAAAAATTACACGGTGAACGTGTTAAAATGGCTTCCTATCGATAGTAGGAAGTCACTTGATAATTTCAATAGAAAATCGATATTTTCAAACTTGTCAATTTATCAAAATTCGTTACTGCTATAAAATGTTGAACCGCTTGAGAATTAACCGCGGGAGAATTCTCTCCCCTTTTTTCGCGAATGTTCAACTGCGAAATCTGGACCGTGGGATCGAGCGAAGCTCAAACGTGCACGATCTTACTCAGCTACGCTCTGTCGGGGAGTAGCTGAGGGTGAAGAACACGTAGCGAGATCCTCCCCCTCGTCGAAGAAAAATCGGAGAAGCAAATAGAAAAGAAGGGGGAAAAAAGTGAAATGAAATAGAATTACACGAATTGTCCGTCGTTATAAATTGTCCTTTGTAATTGTAGGAAAACTGGCCTATTCTAAAATAAGTAGTTGAAATTACGATCGATACCGCGACAAACGAAATATGCACCGTACACGTTTAAGTATAGGGAAATTATACGAAACAACATGGAAAAGTGCTATTTTCAGAGTTGAACAAATCTAAAATGCAGAGACTCGAAAATGATAGCAATTTCGGTTATACACGAGAAATACCAGCAAATTGTTTATCGCGAAGATGTACAAGGGGAATACTTGGAATAGAAACGCAAATTTTTAATATGCTAATGCAAACGTCTAGTTATCTAGTGACAACCGCTCCAGCTATAGAATCGTTAAAACAATAGCAACCCTCATTACTATCTCTCTGCCCTCCCCCATGCACAGGCCTGTATATAATATACATATATTTAATACGACCTTGCAAGGAATCGCGACTTTATCATGGATGCAGCCACGGTGCAGGCACGATACGTAAAGTACACGAAAAGGTTCGCATTAATGGCTGGAATTTGGCCTGGCCAAAAACGGTTAACTAAGTACTTTTTGCGGACCATTGTGTTCATGGTTATCATCAGTTCGCTCCTTGCTCAGGTACACACGTAACGTTAACATAAATGTACACTCTGTCATGCTTTACTCGATATATACGATATTCCATCATTTACAATACAATAGAAAGTGTGAAAAGTGTAATTATATCAGGGGTAGGAATTTTCTTGAGACAATTGTCTCGAAGAATTTCACCGATAAATAGTAGATCGTAGGAGTTCTGGATGAATAAGGAGGTTTTTACTCGGTAATTTCGGGAATACAAAGCGTTAACTAACTGTACTGTAACGATAGTTGCAAAGTCTCTCGATCTTCCTCCCTCTTCATCTTTCAACATTCCAAGTTCTCGCTTTTGGCTCGCTACCTTCTAATTTTCCGAACAGGGTTGTTTGCCCTCTTCGTTCACACAACTACTGCTCCAGATTACAAACAAACCCTCGTAACATCTAATTTCTGTAACTTGTTTCGACATACTAAGAAGACAATGTCATGTGACAAGATAAAGAGTAAATGTCGCGATGCTTCGTTAATACAGCTAGCAAGGATGTTGCAAACCCTTACCGTGGACGTGATAGTAGAACAAGTGCCATTCTTCTTCGCGATAGTGTTGCTGCTATGCAAGCAAGGGAACTACATTATAAATACAGATAAGGTGGGAGGATGCTCGCGATCTTTATCTTCCACCTTGACATTTTTCTGCAACTGTGTGACACGACTGTTGCAGTTCGAATACCTTCTGGATAGTATGTGCGAGGACTGGAATCAAGAACGATCGTACAAGGAGATCGGCATCATGAAGAAGTACGGGCAAAGGGGAAATCTGCTCTCGAGGTTCTACGTTGGTAAGCTCTCCGAAGTTTTAATTAGAAACAATTAGCAACTCTCGATCGGATCTTTCCAGTGAACGCGTACATTTGCTCGTTCTTGTTCATACAAGTGCCATGGTCGACCCGATTGGTGAACTCGTACAAGACACAGAATATAACGCCAAGTTTGCCAGTCGTCGTACCCGGATATTACTTCGTCGACGAAGTAGAATACTATTATTACATCATACTTCACGGAACGTGCACAATTTTGATTGTAGTGGTGGTGTACTGTGCCTGCGACACCAGTTACATGGTACTGGTGCAACACACTTGCGGACTGTTCGCCGTGGCCGGGTGAGAAAACTTGAGAGATACATTTTTTCTCTCATTTTCGTCGGGAAACTATTATTGAGATTGCGTGGAACGTTCGCAGATACCGCTTCAAGAATTCAATTCGCGAGGACAATAGCGTGAAGGGGAAGTATTTCGACCACTGGACGAAAGAGGCGTACAAGAACGCGTGTTTCTCCATTCAGGGACATCAACGTGCTATAAAGTCAGTATTCACGATCTTTGTTTGTTTGTTTGTTTTTTTCGTTAGTTTGTGATTCTTCTTTCCTCTACCACGTTTTATCGCAGTTTCTCTTTGATCCGTTCTCTTCAATTCAGCTTTGTAAAGGAAATTGAACGCGGCCATGACACGTACCTTTTCACCTGCTTAGGCTTGGTGATTCTATGCTTCAGTATTACTCTGATCAAGGTGAGCTTCCTTTTTCCTCTTTCCTACGACTACATTTCGCGTTGTTTAATCTGTGGAAATTTTTCACTGTTTTCAAATCAGCTGAGTACGTCGGATTTCGACATAGACTTCTACAGATATTGCAGTTTTACGTTGTGTCAACTGATGCACCTGTTCGTTATCATGCTTCAGGGACAGTTCGTGCTGGATTCGTGCGAGAGAATTCACGAGGCGATGTGAGTAGAGGGAATAAATAATCGCAACAAAAGGATAAATTATTTCTTCCTGCCAACAAAAAAGATTTATATCAAATGTACTTTAACTCTTTGCACTCGGAGGTGATTTTGCAGAACAAAAGGTTGCATATCGGATCTTCTTCAAAATTTGTTCAAACTAACGTAGAAATAAAGTATACTATTTTATTGAAATATTCCACGTATTCTCCATCTCACCATAACGAACAAATTTGTGGAGGCCCATAGATCTGTTCTCTCTCTTCGTTCATTATCCACCAAGTGACGATTGTTTAACGTCGCTTCTCAGTCGCCACTCGATTGCAAAGGGTGAACCTACCACAATTTTGCTGTTGATTCGAACGGCACTCCGTGTATCACACGCGATGATAATGAAACTTCCAGATACGAATCATTATGGTACACAAGTTCTTCGAAAACACAAGCATTATACGTGGTAGCGTTACGAAGAAACCTAACACCTACCTGTTTAACGGCTGGCGGTTTAGTGCAACTGAACATGCAAAGCTTCGCAGAGGTAAACATCACCAAAATTCACTGACAATCACCTAATTCTGACCGTTCTGATATGTTTCGCTCAAACAACAACGATGTTTGCAGGTGGTAAAAATGTCCGTTTCCTATTATACGGTGTTGAAGACAACGTGAACAGTGAAACGAGAATTACCTGCCACAAGATGCACAATAATTATTATTATTATTATTGTTGTTATTGTACATGTTGCCACCTTTTTCGTAAAAGGTAGAATAAACATAATAGAGGATGGTACGTACCATGGTAAAACGTGAAAAGCAACAAATCGAACGATATTATCGTGCGATAGATGTAAAGCTCGTTTTATAGAAGAAACATTTGCTTTGCAAAAAAGAAAAAGTCCAACGGGTGATTAAATCTGTCGACTAACTAACGATACATTTGTTCGTTTCCAAATGTAGAGATATGACGTGTAATAGAAATTTTTTGAAATTATAACGTGGAAAATTAAAATTGAATAATTCGAGTTTATATGTATCGTTGTTTAAAATTTTTTTTAAATAATTAGATTTGCCAAGATTCTACTCTGTCGGAGAGAAATCGTGCCGAAAGATGTTAGAAACGAGTCACGACAGACGATAGCGGTAAGCTGGCCAATTTTCTAAGCAACAAAAAAAAAAAAAACAACGGAGAAACTGTCGATTCAACGAACGATACTGTGGTTGGTGTTGTAATGTAATGTCATAAAATAATTCTAATTCTACGAAAGATGAACACACATGTAAAGTACACGAGTATCAGCCGTGGTAACCGGCAGAATTATCCAGGTACATATTATTGGACGCTTATTAATCCCGTTGCAAATATTAACCTGAAATCTGGACCGTGAGATTAGGTCAACTTAAACGTGTACGAAGCTCGCGGCACTTTCTCACAGAGCAACACATAGACGAGGGACAAATATCTTTCAGCTATTCACCGCTTGATGAAGAAGATAGAACCAAACGATAAAATCCATAAGAAATGATCTCCCCCGATACTCGTTTCTTCGTCCTCACTCTTTCGTTCGCTGTTTCTCTAAACAGACACTCCTTGCTAAAACATCTCGTGTTCAACCTTCGAACTTAAAAGCACCGCGATTAGACAATATAACCAATACTCTGACGCAATTTAACCCTGACACAAGAGCAGAGGAAAATGTAAAAAAAAAGCGATATAACGAAAGCACGAGACATGTTGCCATTTGGTATTAATCTTTAATATCACGGCATATGGTTCCATTTATTTTCCTCTCATAAAAGTTCGATACTCCTACCAAGCGTATACAATTTTACCGAGAGTACAATTGCCTTCGTTTTAAACGGCATCCGACACAAAACGAGGGAGAATGAATGATCTAACCCGTTGTTTCGTGGAGAAGATTATAATAAGACCGGGCGCTCGTGTCCGATAATAGGTGACTGGCAAATTGTATGAATAAATATTGTACTCGGATAGGAGGAACAGGTTATAGAGTCATTACTTCAGCCACGAAAGAATTTACCTACTACCCTTCGTGTGACAGTCGCGTATATAGCCGCCTAAGTCCTCCGGTTCGCCACACAATCTCGTCATGGACGCGATCACTCTAGAGGAGCGATTCATCAAGTTGACCAAGATATGCGCCCACTTCTCCGGTTTCTGGCCATGGCAGAGCAAACTGTCGAAATACGTATCGCGAATAATAACGTACACCATCGTTTTCACGGTTCTCTTCACGCAGGTGAGACACTATACCTTTTTATTATTTCGACGAGTTCATACTGTTATTTATTCTTTTAACACGTACCCTACCACGGTTCTGTTGAAGTACCCTTGAAATAATTCTTTGAATTATTCTCACATGCATTCTCAATATCTGTATTTCTTTCAGTTTCACATTATACGATTAGACACGCTTAATATTTATCAAATCCTGAAACCGTGCATTTTTTACGACGTATCGCACGAAGGTAATATCGTTTTATTATGGGAATTTGGCGTCACTCTATGTGACGTTGGTAGCGAACGCGTTAAAGTGCATTTGCATATTCCGGGCGCATCGTTGCACTTGTTAAGAAAGTGAAGTCGTAGGGAAATAGATAATTTCCATACCACTCGGCTTTTATCTCGACAGTTTCATTGTATTTCATACCAAATTCGAGATACAACGCACCTTGTGTACACTACCGCTCGAAAGTTTAATCGCATCCATTGAAATGCGGTAAAATTGAGAGTGATTTACAGAGAATACATGAATTAGGCGAAAATTCTGCTAAATTCGGTAAGAAACTTTATATCGAATTTGACGAATGGAATTGGAATTTCATCGAATTGAATTTACGAGCGGCAGTGTACGTTCTTTAGTATAACACTAGTAAATATAAGAATTTTTCTGTGCTGTCTACCTTACACATTTAAGCGATTTTTATACGATTTCTTGGAAAGACAGATCGACGATTGATCTTGCAGGTAGCACAAGTAGTGTGTTTCTTCAGTTTGGACGTTCTTATAGATCAACTATCATTTTTTGGTGCGGGAAGCGGGGTACTGTTGAAACAGGGGAACTACATCGTCTTTAAAGAGGAGGTGAATGAATTTTCCATTTTGATTACCGTTTCACGTTTCATGGCGTTCGTTGATTCATGGGTCATGTATACGAGATCGATCAAATTGCAGTACGAGTCGCTTATTAGCGGTGCCAGGAACGACTGGTCGATCGAGAGACCACAAGGGGAGATCGACATTATGACTAAATACGCCGAGAGGGGTGCTTTTTTAATTTCGACATACCTTGGTAAGGCAGATCTTATTTAAACGACCAAACTGTTTATTTTACGTACATTGTCAAATATTCGATAGCGAACGCGATCGTTTGTGTCATCCTGTTCGTGTCGACGCCGGTGACACCGCATATTTTGGACATTTTACTACCGAAGAACGAGTCACGAGACGTAGCGTACATTTATCCGGCCTATTATTTCACCGACGAGCATAAGTACGACGTGTACATAATTACGCACATGGCGTCCGTGATCCTTGTGGTGTTTTACGTGTACGTCGCTTGTGACACCAGTTACATATACGTCGTGCAACACGGCTGCGGATTGTTGGCCGTGTCCGGGTAAAAAATTCGATCGAACGATTCGTAGCTCAACCCTTTCAGTGCCAACAAAATCGATACGTTAATTTTTCTGCGAAACACTTCTAACTTCTTCTGAATTTTATCAACAACAAACGAAGTCTAATGTGTTTAACGTGAAAATTTTATTGAGATTATTCTAAGGATTGATGGAAATGCGACAACAAATTTCTGAGGTTAACATTGGTACTCGAAGGGTTTAATTTTGGGTACAACAGATGAGAAAATTGCAAGGTTTTAATGCGTAGATATCGTTACAAATGTGCGATCGTGGAATTGTCCAGTCGGAAAAGGAACAGTGTCACGCAGGATGAAATTTATAGAAGAGTGTGTCATTCGATTCAAGGACACCAGCATGCTATAAAGTCGGTATTAAAAAAGATACGTCAAATTGTTTTAAATGTTCTTTGCTTTTTTTCTAGCATGTTACTATTACGCCCGTGAGATGTTCTTGTCTTGTTATCTCTGTATTATGATTTATTGAAATTTTCGATTTTTCTTCGAGTGAAATTTATTCACGTTTAATCACACTTTTATCGTATGGAAATGTGTAACATTAATTTTACAGAATGCGTTTACTCCGAATGCGTGTTAATTCTTGCAAACGTCTAATTTCGCTGGTAAGCAGGCCGTGCGAGTATGATTTTCTCTTCGTCGACGAACAAATTGCAAAACCGATCAAGTAATTTTTCATATATTTTCTTTTCAGCACGGTAAAAGAAATTTGTCGCGAGTGTAATTTTGTTTGTCCAGTAAAAGATTGTCAAGCAATTGTATAATCCAGGAATGAAAATGAATTTGCTGGGAATGTTTCATGCTTTCACCTGCACGTACCGTCTTTAATATACTCCCGAATATGTCACACCGATGATGAGTTCGTCCTATTTCAATGATTTCAAAACAGATACATTAACCAGATCGAAAACTGCCACGCGGGCTATTTTTTTATTTGCGTCGTTCTTATAATGATATGCTTCAGCGTGATACTGGTGAAGGTGAGCTCTTCAGTGCGGCAATTATATCGCGTTGCGATACCGCTGATCATCCTCAGAACAATTGTTTGGAAACAGGTGTCGAACTCGGAGATTAACGCGGAGTTTGCCAAGGATTGCACATTTATCGTGATTCAATTGGTACACATACTTTACCTAACTCTTCAAGGACAATTCGTGATCGACGCGAACGAGGAAATCTTCGAATCGATGTAAGAAGTAAATTTGAAAAAAATTGAAAATTTGTGAAAATCAAAATTGTCCATTTTTCTAGATACAACGCTTTGTGGTATAACAGCGACAAGAGAACGCAATCGTTGTTTGTATTAGCATTAAGAAATTGTCTATCTGCTCCTCAAATAACAGCCGGTGGACTAATTACAATGAACTTGCAAAGTTTCTCAGAGGTAACTCGTTCATCGACAATTATTCTTCTAATATCTCGAGAATATTCAGTTAAACGACGTTCTGCTTTCTTTTCTCAGATTGTAAAGACGTCTGTCTCGTACTACATGGTACTGAAATCCGTATAAACGACATAATGCACTTCTAACAGCAAGAATATCGACGAAGAAAGCGCACGGGTCAGTGCAAATCAGTGGAGTTGATGTTGCATGCGAGATTATTATGGTTAATTTTCTACAATGGATGTGTAACTCTAACTGGTAATACGAATAAGAAAAGCTCAAGGAAAACACTTTCTCGTTCTCAATTGGATCAACGTTGTCAAAGGACCCATTCTCAAGGCAATTCTATAATTATCCCAATATAGTAATGTCTTTCCAACCAGCAAGGAACCAACAGGCCTATTGTAGAGTCAGGGACTACGTTTTCGAGTCTCGCGTCCGCCTTTGTAGTTTGCCGAACGAAGACAAGGATAGGGAATAAAAGATAAGGATGAAACGTGAGTGGTGGTAACCGAGCAATTTAAACACCAACTGTTTTAATTTAATGTTCTTTTATCCCGACATTTTTCTTAACATATTGATCAGATTTTTCTGATGAAAATGATATCAAACACGATATAATTTGAACAACATTTACTTATTAACACGTTGACTGTCACGCCAGATTTTCATTATTTTAAGCATAAGATTATATGTATTCTGCTTTATAATTTTTTTTTTCAATATAAAATAATGTCTAGTTAGCTATGACGTTCAAAATTTTTAGTTGACGATATTTATTTTATTGGGTGGCCAACCGTAGAAAGGACCTACCATTTAGTGGCCAATTGCGGAATTGACCTGCCGTTTGGTGGTCAATTGTAGAATCGTGTGAACAGATATTTAATGTATTTTTTTAGCAATTCATCCAAAGCGATATATTATGAAATTAAATCCTTATAGTGCCGACCGAAAGAATGTTACCTAAGCGCAGAATGCCGAACCAATTTGATGTAATTTAAAAAAGAATAAAAAAAAAAAATAAGAATGATATTTACAAAATTTAAAAAAGGAACATATTATGAAATAAAGGAAGAATAAATGAATGCCAATTGTATTTCAATATTTGTTGAAAATCATACTAATAATACTTATTCAATATCATTAGGAAAAATGGAAAGATCAGTTTTCTTTTATAAACAGTGTTCATTTCAATATTTGTTGAAAATCATACTAATAATACTTATTCAATATCATTAGGAAAAATGGAAAAATCATTTGGTGTTTGCAAATAAGAAGAATCATCGTTTGGTCATAGTTTGATGTAGAACACGTAGTATAAAGCATAAATACTGCATTTTCAATTATTTGTAACAAAATTTCTAATATCAAAACACGAAACTAAATGATAATCCCGTCAGAAAGTACTCTAACTCGGAGTAGGGTTGGCGTAAAATTAATTAAACGTTTCTACGTTCTCGCAACAGTGTATTTTACACGAAGACTATTTCCGCGTTGTCTGAACTTTGTTCGCAAAAAATACGCGTTCAACGGTCTCGTGTAGAGTGTGGACGCATCGTCCTGCCGATCCCTGTCCACCCCTACGCGAACCATCCCGGGGAGAGACCCAAAGGGGCGGAGTCGCCCCACCGAGCGCGCTGGGCCTGGCTTCAAGGTGCTCGCTTCACCGTCTTCGTGGGAGGATTACACACCTGTTACAAAACAAGTGATTCGTGTAGCTAGTATAAAATCGGTGAAATACAATTCAAATATTATTATAAACATTTATAGTTATCCGGCTATTGAAAATGTGTAATATTTACTTATTATTACTCACACAAATAATTTATTCGGCATTGATGGTTACTAATCGAGTTATAATTTTGCCTTCGGTATTCATTCGAAACAAGCTGTAAGCATTCAGTACCTACCATCCTTGAAACAATTGAAAAAATTACTTTTTTCCAAAATTGAGAGTTCTTCTCTCGTCCAAATAAGTATAAAGCAATACGTCGACACTTCCCATAAATTTATTGGACGAGAGAGGAACTCTCAAATTTTGGAAAAAAGTAGTATTTACAATTTTTTTTTGTTAATTTATTTATTTATTTATTCAACCATTTATAACGTTTTATAAATTTATTGGGAAACAGAGTTCTGTTGCCATCGCATACGCAACGATATATCGTTATTCGGCACTACAATGGTTAAATTAATCAGTCAATAAGTATTAATAAATAAATGTTGTTCAAATTATATCGTGTTTGATCTCATTTTCATCATAAAAATCTCACCAACATGTTAAAAAAAAATTTTGAGATAAAAAAAGTAAAATTAAAGAAGTTATATTATTCTATTATGAACTGTCCAGCCATGAAATCTCGTAACAGATAAAATAGGCGCAGCAATGACGCAGACCTTTATTTTTTTTTTTACGCGGGGAAAATCCTAATTGGCCACCATGACATCTCCTGGGGGGGACATGCCGGGGTAGTGCCGCACTTTTACACGTCATTCCTCCTCGTAGAAGACACGCTTGTCGTTCGCGGAGGACTGGCGGTATGTGGTCCGCGTGCCGCGTGTGATTTTTTTCTCGTCTGTTCGCGAGCAACCACACGCAAACCTCGTCGAATATATATCACTCGCAGAGGACGTAGAGCGAATATTTCTCTCTCGGCGTTCGACATTTTTTCGTTGTTCGCCAGAAATCGCCTCTACGACAAAAAGCTGTCGCAACGAAACTTGAAGGCGCACAGACACGACGCGACGTCGCCGTTCGCAAAAGTTGTTCGTTCGCCGGTGTCTGGCCAGGAGACACTCTTTATTTTCGCTGTCGCGCGATACCGTGCACGAAAACACGGTGAACGAGGGCCCGATAAAAGAGACGAGGCCGCGGAATTTCGCGGCAAGTGACAAATTAGGTTGGCCGAGCGGTTCGTAGCAGAGCGTGGCAACATATTTATAGAGCGTCTCGCCGCTAATGGTGATCCAGGTGTTTCCCCTGCGACTCTATTTTCGACCAGCCGTTTATCTCTCTCCTCTTTTACCCTCTTCCTCCTTCTTCTCTGTGGTTCTCTCTCCTGCGAGCAAGCTGAATAAATACAAGCGTGGACATTACCAGATAATGGCGTGATTGTTAACCGCAATTCATTTCACTACCTACGTTACACGGCGCGCCGCGTGACGTCCGGACGCGGCGTGGATTTATCGCTATCTAAACGCTCTTTGGAAAGAACGTGCGGTACGATGTTCCGCGCTTAATCCGCTTCGAGCACGCTCGCAATTTACCCGCGGTTCAACCACGCGCGTTCTTCTTCTTATTCTTCTTCCGTGAAGCTTATTACCACGGTTAGAGCCGGCGCGCGGCAACCGAATCCGCGAAACCTATGTCTGAAAGTGTGAAAAGCCTGAAGAAAGGACGAGATAACCTGTTCGACGAGAGAAGCACACCACCTTGCAACCACACGCAAACCTCGTCGAATATATATCACTCGCAGAGGACGTAGAGCGAATATTTCTCTTTTTTATGGAGACTCGTAAAAGAATATCGCGACGTGCGTTCGTTACGACGGGCGAAAAGATTCTCGTAAAAACGTCTGCCCTGTCGA